ACATGCCAATCAGTTGGATGTACCGTTGAATTTAGGCCACCACGAGAGCTTATCGAAGAAATTAATGGTGGAAAGCTCCAAGTCCCAGATGAATAATATGGTAAGTTTGGAGCTCCTTGCCAATATTTTCAGCACAGTGTCTCATTTTATCAAATATTAGAGTTTATTATACAACTAAAATGATGGATAACTAAATAAATAAATGATATTTATATTGTTACGTAAAGTATTTGCTTCGAGCTCTGGGTAGGGGTTAGCATCCCATCCACCTGATAGCCGTAACAATTTATAACGTTGTTACAGACTATCGGGAATATTGCTACTGAGGAGAAAACCTCAATAAAAAGTCATCATTTAATATATCATACATATGTAGTATTTTAATTATAAAAATTTTACGTTCCCATTGTTTCAGATTTATCATAAGGAGTAAAAAATAAAACATTTTTAATATGAAGGTGTTGTATTTTTATGTATGTTCCATTCTTTTAATGAAATAAATAAATTAAAACTGTTTTAATGTATCATATACCTTGTACACAATGAATATATATCGCACATCCATATAACATACTGTTATTGCATTTAATCAATGTTAGATATACCAATTATAGTATGTAACAAATATGTTATATAGTCAGAATAATTTGTTTGCAAGTACTGTACTAAAAGTGATTTTTAAACATAATGTTACTATTTATTTTCATTCATATAAAATTTATCTTTACTTTAGATTTGACATGTCTTAAAAGAAGCTGGATCTAATTATGATAAAGGTTTCATTTATTTAAAATCTTTTTTATTTTCTAATTTGTTAATTTATATTTTTCAATTCTGAAACGATCGAGAAATATGATATGATAAACATTATCAGCAGTGATTAATAATATTAATAATTAATCTTATTAAACATTAATAATATTTACTCTTTATATCTATTCACAGTCGTTGAAGTAACAATTTTCTTACAAGATATTAATGAGTTTAGTGATGTAAATGAAGTCTACAAAGAATGTAAGATTTAATTTATGGTTTTATTTATATAAGCGTATGTTATATTTGTGTACATGTCTACGCGCCATTTCTTTTCCTTTAGTTTTTAAGGAGAACTATCCAGCTGGATCTACAATCCAAGTTGGAAAGTTACCAATGGTGAGAAGTAACACACATATGAATATACACATGTAATTCAAAATCTAACCGCTAACGTTAAACGTAAAATATTGCTGTAGGGTGCAAAATTTGAAATTGAAGTTATTGCTGTTGTTGGCGAGGTAGAAACAATTTGAATATTATAAGCAAAATTAATTTAAATGTTATATATTAATGAAATACGTTTGCATTTAAGCATTTAAATATTATCTCGAATTTACTATTTTTATGTGTGATGCTTTTATGATTATATTAATAACAATTTGGTTCTTTTACCATATGTATATTTAAACATAAGTTTATTTTTTAAAAACAAATAATGGGAAATGGTAATGGGAAATATCTCTCATAAATTATATTAAATATTTTTGTACTATTGAAAAACCTTAGAAATAAATATTTTTGGGAAGTTTCCGCTAATATTTTGCTTTGTACAGGACATATAAAAAAAAATAAAAAACGTAAAATAATGAACGTTAATAGTAACCTGATCAAAGTCACCAAATATTTCATATAACATTGGCATGAAAATTAAATTTATAAAAAACACACTTAATAGTAATTCATCACAAGAAATAGTACTTTTTAATTAATATCAGGTGTAGCAAAAGAAGAATTTTTATATGTTGTAAATAAATTATATTACTTTATAAAAAAGAAAGAAAACATTTATGTATTTTCATAATAATTTATAATGCTATGACAAAAGTGTAACGATAAATGTAACTTTTATCTCGTAAAATAAAAGTAAAATCGTGAATATTGTAAGAATATTATATTCAAAATGTTTGTGTTTAAATATGTCATTGTAATAAATAAACGAAAACGTATCCTAACGAACAATACGAATGAATATGAATGATTAAAGAATAAACATGGACAACAACCAAACATAGCGGCAGATATGGATAGTATTGTGTTACATAGAGGGTGGTCCGTCATTCATGATACAAATGTGGTTAGACAGATTCTATGGCTCAAAATAAGACGAAGATCAAAAATAACAAAATTGCGTTGGGAACTTCGTTTGTGAAAAATCGAGTTTGAAAATTCATGAAGTGTACGTGAATACGAACAACCACTTCATAAAACGGCAAGAGGTGGTATCCAATTTCTACTACGCTTTGTAGTACCTAAAGCAGTAGACTGTATTCGATGTTTGTAGCGTATTAAAATGTTTTAGGAATATTTTAATAAATTGCAAAGGCGTATCCGCACTGTTCTATTACTATGATGTGTTATTATGTCACAGTTAGACGACTTGAATGTAAATCTACGTTGAGTTATTATAGTTCATGTTACAGCGGTTCTTCATACCTCGATTTCACAACCTCTTTCACTCTTTTCGAACGAGATTTACCACGTGTGAGTGTCGTTCCTATTTCTTTCATTCGATTGTGTCTCATTTTGGTATTAACGTTATCATCACAATGCCACCTAAATTCGACCCTAATGAAATCAAGATAGGTATATTTTTAATGTTTAATTTCAATATGTACTACAAGAATGTAAAATTTCCTCACATGTGCATACTTGTTTCAATAGTCTATCTAAGATGCGTTGGAGGTGAAGTAGGAGCAACTTCATCTCTGGCTCCAAAAATTGGTCCGCTCGGTTTAGTAAGATTTTATTTTATAAATTTAAATTATTTATGAATAATATTTCTTCTAACTTTTTGAGAAACTATTCTATTTTATAATTGTAAATATTGATCGTCCTCTTTCATTGTTTGATTCTATTTTACATTCTATTGATAAATAAAAAACATTTATATAGTGCTTAAATATTGCTTTATATCTATT